CCCCAAAACCCCAAAACCCCAAAACCCCAAAACCCCAAAACCCCTGCCTTGGATAAGTAAATTGTAATTATTTTCAAATTATTATCCATACATGAGCAGTCCAAGTGAGAGCACTCCTCAAGTTACAAGAACCAAGAAGTTCATCATTGATGATGAAGGTAAAATATTTTTATGCCATTAGAAGTCTATATGAGATAGAAAAGTTATTCTAACCTTTATTTTTGCCTTATAAAAGATTAGAAGTTCATCTGAAAATCTTCAAATCGACTTCAATTTTCTATAGCCGACGAATCAAGCATTGTTCGTGATAAGAAAGAGGAACCAAAGACAGAAAGTAATGGGAATACTCAGAAGTTAGATCATCATGGTAAGATCTTTATTTAACTCTGGCTTTTGCTTAGATAATTTGCTTCTTAATTAAGAAATAATCGAATCTTTCTCTTAAAAATGGCAATATATCCACATTTAATTAAATTAATTATGTAGACTCAGCAGCTCCTATAAATCCCTCAATATCAAATTTCACCTCCCTTCAGGATAAACCAGGGACACCAATTAAGACATCCCAGAGTTCAAAGGTAGAAGCTACTGCTCCTGTGAAGCCAGCAAGAGAGGTGAGTATTCCCTTCCAATTAGATTCGCTAAGGGATAAATTGCGCTACGAAGTTATTTCTTACTTTAATGGTCAATAATTAGATCCTAACTTTATCTGTCCAAGCTCTATTATCATAAATAGACTCTACATTTTAGCTATCTTACTTTGAAACCGAACTTCTTTCACTTAACCCTTCCTTTGAGATAACCTGATTCACATGACATGCTTTTTAGGAAGAAAAATTACTAAAAGCTCCCACTCCAAAGAAGAATGAGGAAGAGAAGACCCCAATACTACAGAAAAAGAACAGTAGTTCTGAGAAATCTCAAAGACCACCACTGATGAAGAAGCAAAGCTCTAATGGCACTGTTCCTTCCAAACTCAACAAGAAAGCACAGGACTCTGAATCTGAATCGGAGTCAGGATCTGGGGAATCCAGTGAGAGCGAATCTGGTAGCTCTAGAGAAAGCTCCTCTTCTTCAAGCGATGATAGCAGTGACAGCTCAGATAATGAACAAACTGGCCAAACAAAACTCAAGATTCAATTTAAGAGACGACTAAAGGAAATCAAGGAAATGAGAGATAAGCCGGTTGAAGAGAGAAAGATCCTGATGAAACAGGCCCTAAGTAAGAGCCATAAATGTTAAAATTACTCATCTCTTAATATAGGAAAGTATAAGAAAGACGTACTAAGCCTCAAAATTCAAGGCTTACAGAAGAAAAAGCCTTCAGCTGTAGCTAAGAAGGCAAAGGCAAAAGCTAAGCAGATGGGTACAAAGAAGAGAGAATTAAAACAGAAAAAGAAGCAATCTACAAAATCCAAAGAAGAGAAGAAAATAAATGTTGGGAAGATTAAGAAGCCTCTTTCTAGAAGCAAAACAAAGTCCAGTAAAAATAAGTCAAAATCTCTCACTAAAGAGGATTTGGTTAGTGAAGTAGGAGCAAGATGGTGGTACGTCCTTCCAGATTGGCCTCCAGCAGACCATGACTACTCCGATGGCCTCTCTAAAAGAAAGTTGAGGAAAGTAGATGATTCAAGGTTTAAATTAGAACAAGAAATTGACGAGAACGGACTTCAGAAAGTGCAAGAAATTGAATGATACCCTGGGTGTTTCCAAGATAGTAAAGGAATCATTCATGACTTAAGGCCTCAAGATTCTTGTCCAAGTATTAATAACTTAATGAAAAAGACCACGAGCGAGCTGAAAGAACTGGCCATAAAAGCTATAAAAATTCAATTAGAGCAATGAGATGACACTATCAGAGAAGAGCTAAAAGAAAAATTAGAGAAATTATCTAAATAATTTATGTTAAGCATAAGGTTAGATTTCAATAATGAATGAAGGAGAAGGGGTTTTGGGGTTTTGGGGTTTTGGGGTTTTGGGG